TGCATTGCTGTTACCTATGTAATTTGCATTCTAGACTTCTCCAGTCAGAGCCTTGTTTATATGACACTCAGCAGAACAGCTATACAGTTTTGTCATAGTAGACTGGGCTGCCTGAAAAGATATAGGGTCATGCAGGGCAGCCTACAGCAGGACAGCTGTCAGGGCACTGCCCTCTCTTGCAACCCTACAAATATCACTATCAAAGAAACAATTAATCAAGCTAGATCACTCCACTGAGTGTATACTCTAGGCCAGATGATACATAATTCTTTAAAGGCAAGGGCTCTGCCTACCTTCCCCTCAACACCCATTGCCAGATAGGAACTTTGATGAGCTTTCATCTCAACACAGCAGACATTTTCCTCAGTGGAGAGAACAGCGTAGCATGACTTTCAGGACTCCAGAGCACCTACATGAAGTCAGAGGAACAAAACTCAAAACTAGCAATTGAATTCAAGTCAATTTGATTCTGGAAATGAGAAGCCAGGAAAAGCAGAACACCCAACCAATAACCTCACTGTCCCCTAGGGTATGTCTCAGATGCCTCAGACTGGAGCAAGAAAGCAGGAACGATGGGCTCATAATTTAAAAAGTATTTGTCTTCTAGTTTCTAAGAAGCTGTTGTTAAGAGATTTTCTATAGAGGAAAAAAGTAAACCTTTTCCATTTCTATCTTGACTATTGGAAATTTTAAGCAAGAGTGTATGTCAGAAATATGTCTCAACAGTTACCCAATTTTTTTTCTGTAGTATGTTTGCTTTTATGTTCAATTCTTTATGACCTCTACTAAGAGAGCAGAGAATAGGCAGTATGGAAATCTGAAATGAGAGATGAAATGAACTTCTTCCACAAATCCTTTCACAAAACTACTAACCATGAACTGGGCTGGTTCTACTACAGGTCCTCTTCCTTCACCTCTCTAGTAGAAGCCTAATCATACAGAGAAATGAAGACAGACATGAGCAAGGAGAAAGGCATTAGAATGAGAGAGACTATTTAACATAAAGAGCATAAGTAGTCCTTAGGGTTGCAGTATATCCGGCTTAAAGTGGAAACTTGTAGAGACTGAATGAGGTAATTGAGGGAGAGACGCACATAGGTAAGAACAGTTTACTTTCCCCATGCTGTTCCTCTTCCATCCATATGATGCAACTCCATTCCATAGGTGCAGCTATCCCCTCTGTTAGGTTGTATAATTTGTATTTTGAAATCAGTTATCCTTACTACTAAATCATTTTGCAATGATATGTTCCTGTAGAGAAGTACCCATGACCTTAAAAAAAAAGTTTATTCTCTTGCATAATAAGGTGTATGTCTTCTGTCCCAGCTGTCACACAGAGTAAGCCATGCCAACATCTATATTTCTCCCACTCAACTTTAGGAGGCTGCATTCAACACACAGTGGCATAGGTGCTTGACATGTCAGTTGGCTATTGCTAAATAACAAATGCTCCCAGAATGTAGACTCCATTTCTCAGGAGCCTCTGGGTCAACTATTTGATTCTTCTGGTCTGGGCCATGCTAGACTGGCCTTGTCTTGCCTGAGATTGCCCATGCCTCACCAGACAGCTTCTGAGTCAGGCTAGCTGGCCTAACATGGCCTTGGCTATAACAGCTTCATTCTGCTCCATGTGGCCTGTCATACTCCAGCAGGGTAGCTTGGGGGTGTTCACCTGGCATCTGGGTATCTCACAAGAGAGGACAGATGTGCACAGGCCTTGACTCAGAATTGTCAAGGTGTCATTTTCACTGCTTATTGGCAGAAGTCTGCTGGATAAAGCAAGTCACTCCTGATGGAAGGAGCAAAAAAGTCATAGTGCAAAAAGGTGGGGATGCAGGAAGTGGTAGAAATCATGGCTATCCTAACAAAAATGTCTAGTCTGAGTCTTTTCAGGAAATATCTGCTGAGTGTCTATGACACACCTAGCAGTGTTGCTAAGAAAACCCCAAAGCAAAACTCCTGTTCCTGGGGGATCTAAGTCTTATTGGCAAGGTTCATAGGCATCTTCACAGTAAGTGGCTAATAAATGATAAGCACTCAATAAACATTCATTTCATGAATATACTCATGTGCCATCTAAAGTATTTGTTTTTCAAACTCTAATTTCATAGAATAGTAGCATTACTCAGTTCACCTGTTATGCATACATCATATTTCATCAATTCTAAGACACACATTGCTCACACCAACTCTGAAATCAGAATGGGGCTTACTATCAAGGTGATTTTTTCTTAAATACTGTATTATAGACAGTTTATAGCATCTTCTGTTTTACCATGGTGTGTAAAATAACAATATTTCTTATATTAACAACACCTTAAATTTAAGGAAATACAATATATATTTTATATATACTTTAGAAAATACATACGAAAACTCCACTCATAATTTTAAGATCACATGAAAAACGAGTAACAAGCATGTAAAGTTGCTACTAGTCAAATCTTTTGGAAAGAATTTCTGGTAGTGATGACTTTAAAAATTATTTCCCACCCTCACAAAATCACCCATTTAAAATTATTTTACTTAAATTGTTTTATTGGCTGTTCTATAGTAGTACAAACTTTAAAAGCCCAACATTGTAGAATGGCTTCTTGACAATATGCCCACAGCACTGCCAGCAAATACTGCCTTGGTATCATTAGCAGTTTTTTGTTTATAAAGAGGAAGTCTTATTTTTTTTTTCATTTTTCTTTTATTATTCATATGTGCATACAAGGCTTGGTTCATTTCTCCCCCCTGCCCCCACTCCCTCCCTTACCACCCACTCCGCCCCCTCCCTCTCCCCCCCTCCCCGCTCAATACCCAGCAGAAACTATTTTGCCCTTATTTCTAATTTTGTTGAAGAGAGAGTATAAGCAATAATAGGAAGGAACAAGGGGTTTTGCTGGTTGAGATAAGGATAGCTATACAGGGCATTGACTCACATTGATTTCCTGTGCGTGGGTGTTACCTTCTAGGTTAATTCTTTTTGATCTAACCTTTTCTCTAGTACCTGTTCCCCTTTTCCTATTGGCCTCAGTTGCTTTAAGGTATCTGCTTTAGTTTCTCTGCGTTAAGGGCAACAAATGCTAGCTAGTTTTTTAGGTGTTTTACCTATCCTCACCCCTCCCTTGTGTGCTCTCGCTTTTATCATGTGCTCAAAGTCCAATCCCCTTGTTGTGTTTGCCCTTGATCTAATGTCCACATATGAGGGAGAACATACGATTTTTGGTCTTTTGGGCCAGGCTAACCTCACTCAGAATGATGTTCTCCAATTCCATCCATTTACCAGCGAATGATAACATTTCGTTCTTCTTCATGGCTGCATAAAATTCCATTGTGTATAGATACCACATTTTCTTAATCCATTCGTCAGTGGTGGGGTATCTTGGCTGTTTCCATAACTTGGCTATTGTGAATAGTGCCGCAATAAACATGGGTGTGCAGGTGCCTCTGGAGTAACAGTCTTTTGGGTATATCCCCAAGAGTGGTATTGCTGGATCAAATGGTAGATCGATGTCCAGCTTTTTAAGTAGCAAGAGGAAGTCTTAAATACTGTTCAATAGACTTGTCACAAAGAAAAGAAAGTACATGTGAGTATTGAGGCATACTTTCCCCAAGTTCTGTTAGGAAAAGTTTTCACAGGACCATTGCATTCAGTATATAGTCAAGCCCCCAGTGATCACATGACATCTACAAGTACTAATTTATAAATGTCAAAACCAACATAAAAACTTTATAAAAATTTGTGTATTCTCAAGATTTTCAAATTGCTTTTAAATACTAAACAGGTATCTCTTATGTAAGGCATAAGTGTATATAAAATTATGTACCTTTCTAAGCACTTATGCACTTAAAAGATTTTCATATTTTAGTGTTGGAAATTAAACAAAAGTTTAAAGATTTAAAACTATGAAAGTTACTAAACTGTATAAGAATTCTGAGAAGTTACAGAAGAAATGCTGATAAAATCTTACTGGAGAGATAAAATTAAATATGAGAAAAATAAAATTTTATGATAAATTTTATGAACATAGAACACTGAAAAAAGTGAATTTAAAAGAAGACAGAATAAAACATTACCAAACTAATAAAATATTAATCATCAGTAAAGTATAACCTATACTAACTATATTATAAAGAAATAACCATATGATGTAAAATACTGGGCAGATGAGTTAAAGACACACACCAATATTTCATTTATAATTATTGACAATTACCAGTGCAGTGAATGTTACACCAGTGTATCTAGAGTTACCAAGGTCCTTTCATCAACTCCCTCCCTTTACTTTATCCTACATTTTCTCACAAAGAGTTTTACCTGATATAGAAGTTGGAAGAAGAGGTCAGGAGTTAATAGGACAAGTGGTCCTTTCAACCTTTGGTGACTGTTGCCAGTCCCTTTACCCGCTCCTCCTGTGATTGCCAGGGCTTTCTTCTACCACACTACTTTCCTTTCTGGGATCATGAAAGTAAGGTCTAGAAATACTCATGAGGTCACCTGGGCTCATTCTAACTGCCTGCTCTTGCAAACTTGAACCCAAGTTGATCTGCTCACTAATAGTAACAGAGCTACCCACTCCCATCAATGAAGCTCTTTCCCCTACTGCATATTTTGGGGAATGATTTTCAATCTGGATACATCTACATTACTATAAAATTTAAAAGATAAATTAACACTGCTGTAGGAAACACTGAACATAAAAAGAAAACAGAAACTCTGGACTTTCACAATCAATGCTATATCAAGATCCAGCAAACAAGAAAGAGGTGGTGATGACTAAGAAAAATACTAGTACTTTTGTGGCTACAAGTTTACAAAATTTTGTTATAAATTTATTAAACTGTTACTCACTGGAATATTTTCCATTGACTTTCACATTCATTTTTTTCAGTCTTCAAATGTTACAATTTTATGTATTGTTTGATAGAGTAGAAAGGGTAAGATGAAAGCCAGAGCAAATACATTTTAGATGAAATCAAGACTAAAACATACAAACGTGAGAACATTATCTTCAAGAGGATACTGATTGATTGTATGATGGTATGGATTGCTTTTTCACACAAAATATTTTCAAGAAAGCCTTCTGAAAACATTTGTGGCACCAGGGATACAAAATAGGATTAACAAGGGAATTGAACCACTGAAGCCAAAATGCAATTTTGTACCAACCTGATTTAGGCTGATCCTCTTGGGAGTAAGTTGAAAGAACAACTGTGTATAGAGAATATGGAGCCCAACAAACGGTAAAAACATCTATGAGAATGGCCAGTGACTTCGCTAATTTCCTGGCTCTGAGCAGTTCAAGATGTTCCCTTTGGTGAAGAGCTATGGAATCTGAATGGGAGAGGTAACCTACTTTGGAAGCAATTACATTGCTATTCATATGGGTTCTTAAGGAAAACAAGAGACTGCTCTTTCCTCCTGGTCTTTCTGAACAAAGGGATGCAGGTGCTTCCTTCCGTTCAGGCAGAGATGTCCGTGAATCTAGTTCATGTCTGGAAGAGTGTCCAGAGTAGGTGGAAGAGGCAGAAGTAAACCCAGGATGGCTGAGGCACCTACTGAGATTCCCACACTTCCATAGGTGCCAGTAAATCTGTATATTGAAATAAACCACTAAGATGATAGGAATCAGGAATTCCAAGAATGATGTGAAGGTGATGAAGTACCATCGTGAAACAAATCCAGGTTCACATTCCTTAGTGTTATTCCTCCAAGACTCTGAAATCAGAATCATTGGCCCATTCACTAAGAAGGCCAGCACCCAAACAGCCACCATCTGAGTAATAATCTTCAAGATCCCAGTGTTTTGAGCCCTATAAGACACCTACAAGAGACCAGATAAAATAGTTTCAATATGATGAATATATATTGAATGCATAGAGCATCCTATAGGCCCTCAAAAGTGTCAGGGATATGCAAGAGGAGGGGACATTAACTAACATGGATACAGTGATGTGTGTTGGGACAGAGGGTTTAATATTAGTAAAACCTGAGCCAAGATGCAGACTTTCTCAATGGTTTGCAAGGGGAAAGCTATAATACTCAAAGTTAAACCTCTGACACTATAGCAAATGCCAAGGCCAAAATCTAAAATAAGAAAGCAATTTTTCCTAACCTAATCTGAATGTAAACTGAAACTGGGTACACTGATCACAGTATTTCTCAATCTGAAGACTCTGTCGTGACAAGCATTCTTTTCAATGAAATAGAATAGTCAATGTCAAAATGCATCACACATAGTGTAGATATTGTTTGCCACCATACTAAAGGATCACAGAGGGGTTACTGAAAACAGGAGGAATTTATTCTCTCGTGGCTCTGGAGCCTAGAAGTTCAATATCAAGGTGTCCACAGTACTATCCTGTCTCTGAAGGTCTAGGAGTAGCTGTTCCATGCCTTTTTCTTAGCTTCTGATGTTGCCAGCAATCCTTGGCTTGTAGTTGGTTCGCTCCAATCTGCCTCTCTCATCACCTGATATTCTCCCTGTGTGTCTGTGTCTGTTTCCCTTTTGTAGAAGAAAACCAGTCATACTGGATTAAGGTGAACCCTAATCCAATATGATCTTAATTTGATCATATCTGCCAACACCACATTTCCAAAGGAGGTCACATTCACAAGTGTGAGTGGTTAGGATTTTGCGATAGCTCTTTTGAGGACACAATTCAACTCACAGAAGGCACTTAGAATGCAATCTTATCTCATTATTAACACTAGCAAGTTCCAGTGAGCTTTTCTGTCTTACAAAAGAAAAATGTCTGACAGGACGTTTGGATGTTTTACTGGGGCAGAGAATGGGCAGGGTAAGGGGCAGTATCTTGAATAATGCACACATTTTGTAGTCAGTAAGAACTGAGCTACTTCAGGGAGACTGCTCCAACCATCTGGGTCTAGATTCAAGCAATGCTTGAGCTGTTTATCTGTCAAACATGCTCCCCAGAGATGAGGAGATCAGTGTCTTCTTCCCAAATCCCTCGGATGTCCATTATCTCAACTGACCTTATGCATAATGAAAGAGAGATCACTTTCTAGCATATTGCATTGTATCATTACAAAGGCCGAACAGAGCAATTAAAAAACTAAATGCAGTTTTATGACCATCTGGGTATTGTTACCATCTTCATAATCATTAGATTTAGTGTAAGAGATGTATTAATTAGTGGCATGAGAAACAGAAGGCAAAAAATGTATTGTATATGAGAGTTTGTGGTCAGCACCATACTGGTTCAGCTTGCATTTTAGTTTATCTTTACAAATACCACTAGTTGTGGGGGGGATCCCCACTTCCTTGGAGTTAAAAATAGTTTAGGTTTTACATTTTTTTAAAAAATTACTAATTTCCTCTGACCTCCAGACATTGGTGAGCCCTTCTCAACATGTACAGTCCATCAAAGAATCACAGTGCTAGACAGTATTGCATTTCTTTAAAGATATGAAAACACTGTAGACTGAGACTTTAAAACTCACAGAGAAAATAGTACATGCAAAATAGTGAAAGGGAGGCATGCTCCCATTTCCTGGGTATATCATTTCCTTTCTTACAAGTGAGAAAAATCAGAGAAATATGGAACATTTGAGCAGAAAGGAGCCTTACAGATCTAAAAGAGAGATTGTCTGCTCCAGATGCCCTTAAAAAATTCTCGGTTCCTTCTTTATCTCTAATGTAGGATGGTTGATTTTAATTGCCTTTAGATTTAGATATTCTTAAAGAGTACGAGTATCTGAGGGCAATCCTTACTTAAGGAATCTCATTTTTCCTTATAGAAGCCTGACTTTGTCACCTAGTGGAGCTAGAACGTTCTCCAACCTTCAAAGAATCAGTAGCACTTGATATAGTTAGGTCTCTCAAAGTGGCTGGCCATCACAGCTTTGGCATGGTATCTGTCAGATGGAAACACTTGTAGAAAGAAGTGATTTGGTAATGCTGAATAGCACCATAGCATTTCACCACAGTAGGGTTAACTGTATTTCTGTTTGTGCTTAGTCTTCTTGGAAGTGATGCAAGAGTTTGTCTTTGTGTTCTTGACCTCACCTTGAAGTCCCAGCATCAAGAGCAGAGTAGCTTCTGCATGTTGGAATCAGATAAAGCATGGTTTTCAAACTTTTTTAACTGGGACTATGGTGAGAAATGTATTTTACACTGTGATCTAGTACATGCATTTCTTTCTATATGTATATTTGTATTCCCAAAGATACATTGCTTGATATTGAACTTCTAGGCTCCAGAGCCACGAGAGAATAAATTCCTCCCGTTTTCAGTAACCCCTCTGTGATCCTTTAGTATGGTGGCCCTAGCCAGTTAACACTGCATCCTTGCTGGTGGAGTGGCTCAAGTGGTAGAGCACCTGCCTGGCAAGTGTGAGGCTCTGAGTTCAAACCCCAGTACCACCAAAACCAAAAATAAAACACTGCATCCTCTCCAGTCAGTCCTCCTGAAAACAATATTTCTCGTGCTTTTAATTTGACTGTCAAGTTACTTTGTCTCCCTATCTCTACTCTGTGTCCATTTTAATTCCCATTCCCTCCAGCTATGGTCTTCCTGCTATTCTCCTTCCTCACTACTCGTGCTTCAGCCACATGGTATCTGCCCTTCTAAAAACCATCTCTGAACACTGTAATCATGTGCAGCAATCATCTGCACTGTACTTTCAGCTACAGTAAGAGCTCAGCTTCCTAGCACCATTTTCTGTGAGCTCCAAGGGGTCTTGGAAGGCTTCCATCTGGTTTCACAGAGCTGCAATGTGAATAATCCATCAACAAAGAGGGAGTACTGCCTGAGCAGCTTGGTCAGTGTTCATGCATTCATATGTGGAGACCTTGTATGCATTTGATTCTGGGCTGCATACTAGGGACAGGGATCTAGCCACTCATTCCTTTCCAAGTTTACAGCCTCTGTTGCCAGGGGAGCTCTTCAGAGCATGAGTAGGATAAGCATGAGTGTGCATACCCATTCACTTTCTCTGTGGGTCTCATTCCTCATCTCTCTGCAACCTGTAAGAATTTTTCTAACTTGGTAAGTCACCCCTTTTCTGCCCACAAACCAAAGGGTAGGTGCAGAAGTTTGGACAACCATTGAAGGAACCTCCAATAAAGACTAAAAAGAAATGTTAACCCAGAGAGAATGGAAAACTCAAAAGTACAAACAAGAAAGAGTGATTTAGAACCGTTTTCAAACATTTGAGTGTTCCTATGGCAAGAAATATACTTTATGCTGGGCACAGTGGCTCACACCTGTAATACTAGCTACTCGGGAGGCAGAGATTAGGAGGATCCTGGGTAAAAAAGTTCATAATACCTCATCTCAACCAATAAAAGCTGAGCATGATCATGTACACCTGCTACCCCCACTATGCAAAAAGTGTAAATAGGAGCATCACAGATCATTGTCCAGGCCAGCCCAGGCATAAACACAAGACCCTATTCAGAAAACTAACAAAAGCAAAAGGGGTTGGGGGTGTGGCTCAAGTGGCAGAGCATCTGCCTAGCAAGTACAAGGCCCTGAGTTCAAAACCTCAGGACTACTAAAAAATCAATATATTTATGATACACATATATACGTACACACTTTACATCACACCAAGTACATAGACAAAAGTATTCATAAAACAGTAATCTTTATGATGTGCAAAGTCCTCTATTTCCTACTTTGATTTTTTTCATTCTGTTCTATTCCGCTCCAATCCACATTTTTCCACTAAAAAGAGTTACTGGTCACAACCCACTGAACTGACTTCATGACTCAATAGTAGGTCAAGGACTACAGTTTAGAAAACTATGAGATCAACTGGCATCTTAATTATCAATCCAAACTGATCTGCACTTTCTCCATAGTTTGACCAATACAAACTGCATTAGGCCTACTACTGATGAAGTAGTCAACACCAAATGGTGATGACAGCTGACTGTCCCATCATATCCATTTTACCCTTTCTACTGGGCACATGGCACTCAGCTAGAGACCACATTTCCAGCTGACTTTGCAGGGAGATGGGGCCATGTAACTGTTTCATTAGTAGAATATAAGTGAAAACAATAGTATGATTCTGCACTATTTTGCTAAAAGAAAATCCTTTTCCCTAGACATCTATCCTTTCCCTTTCCTGTCCAGAGCCTGAAGCAACAGCAACCTGACTTAAACCATGCAGAGGACCATGGCCTAGAACAGGGGTCATTGTCCATAAAAACAAATGCATCCCAACACTTGTTTCCACAAATAAAGTTTTATTAGAAGACAGCCAAATACATTGTTTTTTCACATATCATCTAGGGCTGTTCTGTGCTACCACAGCAAAGTTGAGCAGTTATGACCAAAAGCATAGGTCCTACAAAGCTGAAAATATGTCCTCTCTGGCTCTGTATAGTAAGTTTGCTGGTCCCTAACCTAGAGGGGGCAAAGTCACCCTATTAGTCAGGTCCCTGGGTGAGTTCCTGCAACAGAGCCTTCAGCCTTGCCCAGACCACTCTGTGAGAGAAAAAGAAATTTCTACTTTTGTTTGAATGTTAGCATTTTGGAATCTCTTTGTTTCAGTAGTTTGTCCTTTGCCTCATTTAATTACCAACCCCCCCCCAACACACACTGTAAGGCTATAGGCCTCTAGCCATACAGTCCCCCCTGAGACAAATGCCATCCCTGCCTTCTCCACACAGCCAACATAGCACTTAGGCTATGTATTTCTGGATCTGCCTCCACCTAGATTGCTATGATCCCCAAAACAGGGACTCTGCTTATTCACTTCTGTATCCTAGCATTCAGCAAAATGCCTGTCACACAGTAGACCCTGAATGATTTGGGCTCCTGAGACTCAGGACTGAATGAAGTTTCCCATTGAAACCTCAATGGGAGGCTAATATTCAGGTCTCAACTTGTCTATGGAGTGAAACTGATAAACCTACTGTGGATATCATATATATCCAACCTACTAAAGGTTTAAGTATACCACTTCTGACAACTCGGTTTTCTTTGATGTCGTTCCATTTCAGAGTCATAGGGAAATGGTTTACACAAATCATACAACTAAGGCCAGATGAGAACTTTCTGCCAGATAACAAAAGATGGGGGTCCTTTTTTGGAGGGTGGAGGTGTAGCTCAGTGGTAGATAACATGCTTACCATTTGCAAGTCCCTGAGTTCTATCCACGGCATACACACAAAGTGTTCTTTTTTTTTTCTTAAGGACCCAGGTTTTATAACCATATAATGTTCTAAGGAAAATAAATTAACATTTTGACTTACAGCTTTCGAGACTGACGGATACCGATCATAGCTGATGAGGACAATGTTATTCACAGACGCTGTACACAAAAGATAGTCAGTAATGAGCCAAAATGCACAGGTTTCATTTCCAAAATTCCAGCCAAACAGCGTGTGAGGGATGTACAGAGGAATGGAGATCATACCTGTGCAGGAGAAAAAAAAATAAGGATTAAACAATAGCACACATCAATGAATACAACAACAAAATGGCATATCCGAATTCACTAAAAATGGCTTGGTTATTTGATTTGTCCTCAAAAGTTTCAAATCTAAAATCTTGACCTCCAAGGTGGAAGTATTAGGAGCTAATGGGAGGTTCTCATCTCAATGGGGATATGTGATTAAATAGGATTGTGGAACCCCAGTCTCTCAGTCTTTCTCTGCTTCCTGGTTCTAGATGTGGGCGCTCACTCACAAGTACTCCCAGCCATTGCTATCTGCCATCCATCAGAAGCCAAACCAATAGGCTGCCTGATCTTGGCTTTGAACCACCAAACTGTGATCTAAATAAACCTTTAAAAAAAAAAACGAAGCTCATTGCCTCAGATATTCTTGTTGTATTAATAGCATGCTAACACAGTTTTATATAGAAATTCTTGATATTTCATCATGCATCTTCTGCTTTCCAACATGGCTCTTTCTTCTTAGAAATGTCTTCATCTTGTGTGTGCGTGTGTGCTGTGGATCAAACCTAGGTCCTTTTGCACTCTAAGCACATATTTTTATCCTTCTCTTTTCTACTGAGAAGTGTACTTACTTCTCTTGTCATTATTCCTTAAAGTCAAAAAATGTCTTCCTTCTTGGCAAAAGTAACTTCTCTGTCACCTGCATTCTCTTGGCACTTTGCCACTTCTGTCTGTTTTGTTCTTGTGTACTAATACTATTCTAATTTATATCACAGCTATTTTTAATATATCTCTCCTTGGAGTAGGACCAAGTTATAAATCAGTGTTTGCATCTCCTACAACATCTAAATTGACCTGTACAATGGCTTGCACATTTAACTAAATAATAACTAATATATCTTGTACAATGACCATATGCTCAGTGGATCACAAATATCATCTCATTTAATCTTCATAGAAACTTTTTGAGGTAGGAACATACTGAATCAACAGTTAAGGAATCTAACATCAGAAAGGAGACATAATTAGACCAAAATCCAATCATCTACCAAGTGAAGACTGGATTTGAAAACCAGGCATTGTGATTTCAAAACTCCGGACTCTGACAACAACCCTTACGGAATGAATAAATAGGTGAGCACCACCAGTAATTCAGCCCAGTGCAGAAACTGCTAACCCAGGACAAATGACTATACTGGATTCCCTTCTCTTAGCTTTTGGGGTTTTTAACTGCACTGACATTTCATACAGGTTTCACTACTTGCTGAGAATATGACCTATTAACCATAAGCTCAGTTAAAATCTGATTTCCTTGAGTATCTTTATGTTTTATCAGGTACTTCCAGAAATTGTTTTATATGAGAACAAATCAGCCTATCAATAGTAAGGATAAAAGAAAGGAAAGGGAGAGGAAGAAGAAGAAGAAAGAAACAAACCCTGAGTTCTTCTGAAACAAGGCAATTATAAAGCTGTAACTGTATAATTTCAGAACCAGTGGAAGGGAAGGCAGAACTTTATACTCATTTGGAGGGGGGGACAGTTCTGGGGCTTGAACTCGGGCACCCACCTTATGCTCCTTTTTTTCGGTTTACTTCTTAGTTCTTAGTTGTGAATCTGGTGCTTTCAATGTTTATTAAACATAACTTCCCTGCCTTCACATTTATCTATCCTGCCTCAATTTTCCTTATTTACATCCATATCCATGGGAAATTGGAGAAGACATCACATATTAAACTAGCTATAATCTGAATTGCAGCACAGGGATTTTAGTAAAAAGGACAAAGATTTTGCAAGTTGAGAAATACAAAAGTCAAAATTGTTACTCTGTTTTCATCTGTGGGGACAAAATACTTCTCCCTTCTTTTTTCTACTTTTCCATACTTTCTCATGCTATAATAAAATTCACCTTCCCTAAAATTCCAAAGAAAAAGATAACAAAAAGAGTTTTTATTTGCCTTGTCTTGAGTGGAGACTTAAGGAGAGCACTGTTTCCCTTTTGACTTTATCATTTAGAGAAATGATGACTTGTTTGCATGTTAAAGGGACATCTGATATTGACCAGTTCTGTAGTCCTGCAAACTCTTCTATTTTCTGTGATTATTTCTCATTCTGTGTTCTGCTTGCTTCCCCTGCTTTCTAGCACCCTTGCCATCTCATTGTTTGGGGTTTTAAGTTTCTTTGCTAGTTTGTTTTAGTTTTGATCCTTTTAATTATATTAGTGTAACATGGAAGAAACGGAAGTGCCTTAGTTACCTGTGGTCAGTATAACAACATACCTTACATAGCCTTCTTATGAATTAGAGATATGTATGCAGCTCACAGACGTGGAGGGTCAGGTCCAACAGTGGACCTCTAGTAAGGATAGTGGACAACAATGGCAGGATCACTTTAAGGAATTACGCTACAAAAAGATCAAGTAAGAATGACTTCTGCAGGCCAGACTTGATCCTAGGTCAAACGAGGCATATCTTCCAGCCCAATGAGCTAGGCAAATCTTTGGGGAACTTCTGAACTGCTCTTCTGATAACAAGGAATTTAGTGTAGTGCATGCTTTCTATTTTCCTCACATTGGTGTCTCTTTTCCTGCCATCATCTGGTTTTCCTTATGACTCATCTTAAGGAAGAGTCCCTCTTAAAAGTCACTTACAGTCTTGGGAATTTCTTTTAATCAAGTCTGAGGACAAAGGAGAGCCCTTTGAAAGACTGAACACTAGGCCAGTCACAAAGAAATGACTTTGTAATGGGAGAAGACCATACTTGGAATAAGATTTTTTTCAGAGGTGGTGGTTTAAACGGGAGAAGTCCCATCCCATTCGCAAGATTGGAGCAACAGGGAAACAGAACAAAGGGTCCATATGAGAAAATGAAACCTCAATGTTGAATTTGAGGGAACACCCATAGGAAAATGAAGCAGCTGGCATGTGGCAACGCAGAAGGAATGGCACAGGAGCACCTGGAAGAAATGTCTAAACAAGTCATAGATCCCGGCCACACAACAGATGACAATGGGTACAGAGGAGAAAGCAGTCAGAACATAAACAGTAGAAAAGTACGTGCAGAACAGAACAAATAGCTAAGTCTTTCAATGAGTAAGTAGGGACAAATGTCCTCACGTTGTGCAGAAATAAATTTAGGTGATCTGAGTCAAGACATTTTAAATCTGAGACTGAGTCATGATGTCTGAGATCTGATATGTGAATCAAGATATATTCCATCCAAAATCCAAGTCACAATGTTTTAGATCTGATATCCAAGTCACGGCACCAAAATGTGCATCCAGTGAGAGAAAAATTCAGGCAGAAATGTTGGTTAAGTGATAGTAAAGTTCAGTAGGAAAAGAACAACCTTTCAAGAGTCTCAATACTAGACATCTGTAGAGTGATAATAAGAATGACTTGAGTAGATTTTCCTATGTACTGAGAGGTAGGCGTCTAGTTTCGTTCCTCTGCATACAATGCCCTGGACACCCAGCACCATTTATAAAAGACTGTCCATTCTACAAAGTATGTTCCTGGCACCATTGTTGAAAAGCTAAATACATAGAAAATACATATACACACTTATACATACATACATATGTACACATGTGAAATTGATAAATTAAATAAGAATAAATAGGGAAAGCTGTAGTTTTCCATTACTTAGAGTGAAGAGATACCATTCATTTTGGTGTGCTTCTTTCCTTTATTATTCTGCAGTAAATTTAAACTTTTAACTAGGTTTTAAGAAAATAATAAGTAGTACTACATAGAAAACAATTTTAAAATGTCAAGAAGAGTCTCACACAAAAAGTAAAAGATGCCTTCTGAATTAGTACTACCCTTAACCTCATTTTCTAGCAATAACTGTTAAGATTTCTGAGTTTTGTCTTCTGGCCATGACAATGAACTCTCAATCACGTCTCTGTCACAATTCTTTCATTCAAGATGAAGACTGTAGGCACTTTCACTACTTCTCACACCTCTCATACTTGTAAAATACTTGTTACAGTATTTTTTAAACATTTGAATACTGTCCATAATTGTAATGAAAAATTTTGTGTTTCACATCAGATGAATTCTGAAAGTTTTAAACACCACAAACTACCATTTCCTGCATAGTGACCATGTGTACATGACTTGTTGCAGAATCAGGGACCCATAGTGAGACTCATGTGATTCTATCCCATTAAATCCTTCTGTAGATCTCACAGGAACCAGTTTTAAGTTCCAAAGTCCCACATGCCATAATTTCTCACTTTTTCACGGATTAAGTCTAAGCTTGCCAGTGTTTTCATGAAAGTAATACATGATTAATTTGGGCTTTTGGAGGGCATGAGAGTGTTTTATTGGTTATGGTTTATGTTTTTGTTTTGTTGTTAGTTTTTTGGCAGTACTGTGAATTGAAGCCTTTATGCTTTCCAGGCAAGAGGCCTATCACTTGGCCAGTGACCTCAGACTCTTTTTTCCTACTGTATAAAACACCTCATCTATACAATGTTCATTTAACTTAACATGTCTTGTACAAAAGAAAGCACTGCTGGTCATCTTCTTTTTGTTAAACTTATGGAACTTAATCTCTGTCAACTTCTGCATAGCATTTAAACAAAGTTTAGACACATAGGCTACACATTTCTTACAGGATGTCAAATGTGAGAAAATCACTTGAAAGAGTTTTATATAAAAAGATACTCAAATGAACTCTGATTTAGTTCAAACTCATTTTCCTAAATAGTCCAAGGCTGACTCACATGAGTAGAAAACACAAACAATTATCTTGATGAAACATCAAATCTCTCCCTTAAGCCACATTTTGGCAAATATTTCTAAGGAGAGAATAAAGACAGAATTAGGTGCTAGTTCTGCATTAGCTCATTAGTATTTGACCTTAGGAAATAATTTAGGTAACTCTTAAGTGACAGCCATATTAATCACAAATAGAAACTTGTTATAAGTTCCACCTTTTATATACTTAAGACATGCTCATATATCTTGTTACTTTCTTGAATATTCTGAGGTTTTGTTCCTATCCATTTTC